ACACTGCTTTTTTCCTTACTTGGGATAGATTGTATGATTTTTGTTTTGATTTTTTTTTTGTAAATTAAATTTGTTGTATTTGTAAATAAACAGTGGCACGGGAAATATAGCACATCGTCGATTACAAAACTTGTTTGTATATGTATATTTTTTTTCAAAAAAATTAAAAAAAAAATTTTTTTCTGAAATTACCACTCAGCGAATACAAAAAATTCCTTCCTAAAAATTAGGTTTAAAAAACAAAGATTTTTCGGTTTCAATTGCAACGCATTGCTTTGCAACTCAATTCAACGCAATTGCCGTACGACACAATTTTTGCTAAATATGGTGAAAACGTTGATCGCGCCAAAAACCGAAAAAAAACATTTTTATACAACAACAATAGATACCTCTTATTTATTCGTAAAACAAAGAAGATCCAGCTATCACATAATAATACACAATATTAGATTAAGACAATTCAGCTTTGGATTCCCTAGCACCAAATCAGGTCCAGATCAATCTGGTCCAAGAACAAAGAATTCAATGAGATCAGTGCTTTTATGCTTTCCATCAACGTCAATGAAACTAGTTTGTAATTCAATCTTTCCGAGTATAGAAAAGGATACATCTGGGATTTGTAATTCGTGTTTACCACTTTCATTTACATGATGTACTAAACCTAGAGATGGGCAAATGGCCTCACCCATAATGGGGGACATTGTATTTGATTTTAATTGGTTGGGAAATAAATTTTCATTTTAGTGCAATGAACAAAATTTTTTTTACAAAAAAAAAAAATGTTAATAACTTTATCAACTTTACCACTTGAGTTTTAAATGAAATATTTAAATTCAATAAAGATAATTATAAAACATTATATTCTTGCATCCTTGTCAATAAACAATGGCACAATATTAAAATTTCAATTTTATGGAAAAGTCCATGTTATTCCATTAACAGCACCAAAATAATAATCAATTGTTTATTGGAAGATAAGGATTTCTTAACCAAAAATGGTGTTTTGGTTTATTAGAGAAACTGCCATTATATAATTATGCAAGATTTTGTACTAGACTCTATTTTTTCAATTATTATTTTAATAAATTTGTAACTTCTAGATCAAATATTTTGAAAAATAAATTAACAAATTTTATTTTAGATCATTCAGCAGTCATTAAAGAACTTAGCACACTGAAAATATAAATTTGGATTGGGTAAATAGTTATCATAGATTTGATAATAGCTTTCAGAACCTCAATGAATTAGATTGTAAATTCACTTGTAGCATTGAATTTATTGATAAATTAGCAAATGCTTGCAAATCTATTCAATCATTAAAAATATATTATAATAAATACAGCAATAAATTTCAAGAAAGTCTAATTCAACTAATTAAAGCACAAAATCAAATAAAGAAATTAACCATTTGTTCAACCATTTACCATACTTTTTCAGATGATTTTAAAAAAGTAATACTCTCACATTCACAATCAATAATTTATTATTCAAGTATAGGAGTATATGATATGGATAAAGTTCCGAACAAGCCAATTCAAAATTTATTATTTTCAGACCATTGAAAATTGTAGATGTAAAATGATAATTTTATCTAACTAAAAATTTCAAATGAGAACAATTCATGCTTTAACAATATTTGTGCTTCTAATAAAACATTTTTTAATATATGCATACAATCAAACTTTGTTTCAACAAATTATGGAACACTTAAGAAAATTGCTCAAAATTACTAACCACGTTTAAACAAATTTTATACATTTTTTAAAATTTGTTGTAATGCAAAGTTAATTGTTAAAACAAGATTTGACTGTACTCAGATATTAACCAAATACAAAACTTATTATTGAATTGTGCTAGAGTTCCTATTTGTAATACATTATTCAAATTCGAATTATTCAAACCATTCATTTTATTCATTTATTGAATCATTTGAATTATTCACTTGTTTGCTAATTCAAATTACAACTCAATTAATTAATTATTTGTTTTATTTGTATTTGTTTATTCATTTTATTTGAATTATTCATTTTTTTATTCATTTCATTTGAATAAAAACTCCAAGTTGAGTAAGCTCGAGTTAAAGCTTTAATTTTCAAGCTTGAGTTAAGTTCAAGAAAATAGACTCTTAAATTGTTTTTTAGGTAATGTTCATAAATAAAATAAAGGTATTATGAAATAGTAGAATCAATAATTTATATAACATCAAATTTGAAAATTCGAGCTTCAGCTCATTCGGAACTTTAGTATTGAATTTAAAAGGTTTTCAAGTTTCTATGTTTTCTGTGGGAAAAATAGATGGTGACAGAATTTTAGCAGTTATAAATCAAAAATTACCGTCAATAATTATTATTCATAATGTTTTTAATATTAGTGACAATTCTTTTGATAATCTAATGAAGAATTAGAAGGACCAAAACCTTTTACAATAAGATCCAAAAGATTAACAGAAATAGTGAGTGTCTTGACAAATTAATAAAAAGATATAATAATTTTTAAATTGGTTCCATTTTTTATTTTAGTGCAACAAACAAATTAATTTTTTTCCTACAAAGAAAAAAAATGTATAATAATTTTTAAATTGGTTCCATTTTTTATTTTAGTGCAACAAACAAATTAATTTTTTTCCTACAAAGAAAAAAAATGTTAACGACTTTACCACTTGAGCTTTTGAATGAAATATTTAAATACAATGAAGATGATTATAAAACATTGTATTCTCTCATCCTTGTCAATAAGCAATGGCACAACATTAGTATTCCAATTTTATGGAGAAGTCCATGTTATTCTCCTGACAGCACTAAGATAATAATTAATTGTTTATTGGAAGAAGACAAAGATTTCTTAACCAAAAATAGTGTTAAATTGACTTTTGACTTATTGGAGAAACCACCATTATATAATTATGCTAGATTTTGTACTAGATTTTATTTTTTTGGCAATTATTATTTTAATAGGTTGATAACTTCTGGATTGGATATTTTAAAAAATAGATTAGCAAATTTTATTTTAGATCATTCAGCAGTTATTAAAGAGCTTAGTGCTGATAATATAAATTGGAGTTGGATAAATAGTTACCATAAATTCAATGATAGCTTTCAGAATCTCAATGAATTAGATTGTACATTCACTTGTAGCATTGAATTTATCAATAAATTAGCAAATATTTGCAAATCTATTCAATCGTTAAAAATATATTATAATAGCTACAATGATAAATTTGGAGATAGTCTGAATCAATTAATTATGGCACAAAACCAAATAAAGCAATTATCTGTTACTTCATACACTGCTAATCAAGTTTTTTCAGATAATTTCAAAAAGGCAATACTTTCACATTCACAGTCAATAATTTATTATTCAAACAAGGGAGTACATGGTATAGACAATATATTATTACCAGCTCTATACAATTTGAAGACTTTATCATTAACATCATATGCTACTAATATCAAAACAGAATATTTGAAAAATGTTTCACTGCCGAATCTTGAATCTGTGACATTATGTATTTACAATCAACCATTTCCATCAGAATTGCCTGATTTTATTAACATCAGTGGAAAAATTCTTAAATATTTGAATCTTTATGCTGTTTCAAATGATAGAGAACTTTTGGGAAAGCTATTTCAATCAATTGCACAATGTTGTAAAAATCTAGTAGATTTATTAATAATTTATACAGATGAAGTAAACCAGGGGTTAATGGAAATCTTCAATAATTGTATTAAATTAGAAAGCATAAAAATTAGAGATCCTGATCCTAGACTTCTGAGAAAAGTAGATGGTGATAAAATTTTAGCAGTTTTAAATCAATCATTACCAAAAAAATTGAAGTCAATAAATATTAATTGTGAGGTTGCTAATATTAGTGACAATTCTTTTGATAATTTAATGAAGAATTGGAAAGGACCTAAACCTTTTACAATAAAATTCAAAAAATTTAATGGTTGTGACAGATCAATAAAAAAATATCAAGATTTAGGATTTTTTATTTACTATTAACATGTTATTATTGTTTAATTTTAGAAATAAATCATTTTCATTTCAGTGCAATAAACAAAATTAATTTTTTCTTTACAAAAAAAATGTAAACAATAACTTTACCACTTGAGCTTTTACTGAAATATTTAATGTAATAAAGATGATTATAAAACATTGTATTCTTGCATCCTTGTCAATAAACAATGGCACAACATCAATATTTCAACTTTATGGAAAGTCCATGTTATTCCATTAACAGCACCAAAATAATAACCAATTGTTTATTGGAAGATAAAGATTTCTTAACCAAAAATGGTGTTAAATTAACTTTTGGCTTATCAGAGAAACCACCATTATATAATTATGCTAGATTTTGTACTAAATTTTATTTTTTAATCATTATTTTAACTTCTGGATCAAATATTTTAAAAAATAGATTAGCAAATTTTATTTTAGATCATTCAGCAGTCATTAAAGAACTTAGCACTGAAAATATAAATTTGGATTGGGTAAATAGTTATCAGATTTGATAATAGTTTTCAGAACCTCAATAAATTAGATTGTACATTCACTTGTAGCAAATCTTTTTGATCATTAAAAACATATTATAATAAATACTACAATAAATTTCAAGAAAGTCTAATTCAACTAATTAAAGCACAAAATCAAATAAAGAAATTAACCATTTGTTCAGCCATTTACCATACTTTTTCAGATAATTTCAAAAAAGCAATACTTTCACATTCACAGTCAAATAATTTATTATTCAAATAAGGGAGTACATGATATAAATAATATATTATTATCAGCTCTATACAATTTGAAGACTTTATCATTAACATCACATGCTACTGGTATCAAAATAGAATATTTGAAAAATATTTCACTGCTGAATTTTGAATCTGTGAAGTTATATATTTACAATCAATCATTTCCATCAGAATTGCCTGATTTTGTTAATATCAATGGAAAAACTCTTAAATATCTGGATCTTCTTAGTTCCTTTTCAAATGAACTTTTATTCAATCAATTGCACAATGTTGTAAAAATCTAGTAGGTTTATCAATAGTTTATTATTATTATCACTATTATTGCTATTTATAAAATTTATTTATATTTAAAAAAATAAATAAAATGTATTTAATTTAAAAATAAACAATATGTTTTCTAGTAATTTTAAGAATAAATCAAGTATAAATCAAGTATAGTTCAAGTGTTAATTTAAGTATAGTTCAAGTATGATAAGTAGAAAATAAATGGAAAATAAGTAGAAAATCATGCTTATTTTCTACTTAAATTTACAAGAAACAAGAATATTTTAAATGTGCAAACTTTGCATAGGGGAGGCTCATCGAGGTTCAAAAAGAAAGTAAGATTTGCTCAATGTTTGTGATGACATTATTATTGAACAAGTAAACATATTAACACATGATATTTCTATTCTACTTTGTTAAAAAACCCTAATTCCTCAATATTATTTCTTTGTGCCATATCAAATTTTTTTATGCTTTTATCCAATATATCATGAGAACTTGTCATAATTAATAATGACAAGAATGTTGGTTGCTTGATTATTTTTGCTGGATTGTCAATTAGTTTCCACAAACTATGTTCTAAATTTATTTTAGGTGACTTAGTGTATATGGAATATCACCAGAAAAAAAGTTTCAAATAAAATTAGATTTTTACCATTAAGTTTATCTTCATCATTATCTTCACCACCATCCTGATCACTTTGATTTTCTTTGATTCCTGGATGAACAATAAAACAATAATTTAGATAATCACAGACTAGTTATTGTGAATAATATTTTATGTCTAATGTATTAAAAAAAGAATAATTTTAATTTATTTATATAGTATTTCTTGTTGGTTTATTTTTTGTTGGTTTATTTTTTGTTTGTTCATTATTTTTTGTTTGTTTCTTCATTTAAAAAAATTTTTAGATTTAATTTTACATTATTTATTTAACCCAAATAAAATAAATATAATATTAAATGTCACCTTCCAGTTTCTTCTTCATCAGAAGTCGAATATATAATTTCTTTTTAAAGCCTTAAAAAATATTAAATTGACAAATTTAAATCTCATACATTTGTATTTAAAATGATTCTAAAATTCATTCTACTGTTACATTGTGTTGTGTTAGGTAGGTTACTTAGGACCCCGAACAATCTTAGGAGATGGTACATTTCAATTTTGGGTAGAAATGGCCCTCAAAATCGAATATCATTTCTTAATTAAGATAAATTTTGTGGTGATCCTATAAATTATTTCCAAAAATGGTATATAATAAAGTGGGTATTTTTTCAAGAGAATTGCTATTTCTCACCGGTGGTGATTGTCACCACCTAAGGAATTAAATTTGCGTGGGGCGGAGTTAGAGTTGGGGTTAATCATAAATTGTATAATTCCTTAGGTGGTGACAATCACCACCAGTGAGAAATAGCAATTCCCTTTTTTCAAATGTACCATCTCCTAAGATTGTTCGGGGGTCCTGGTTACTTTCTCATACTTTGCTTGTTATTTTATTTTATTTTTATTTTTTTTTTATATATATATAAGCATAGATAAAAATCCTATCATTGGATAGATTGGTCACATGCATTTAATAGAGACGATCGACAATTTATATGTGAAGAGTATTGTAAAATCGAAAAAGTATCACTTAGAAAAGTGGCACGCCCCATATTAAATAACACCACCTCAAACTTTGCACAAATGTTATATTACTATTGTTTATTTCTGATCCATTAATAACTTTTCCTGATCCACACTGAGTTTTGACTTTTATTAGTAATGCCGTTTGCTCTAAATTTCGCTTTATTACATTCATAACATCCAAATTTATCAATGATCTACATTTTAATTTTCTTTGAACGGAATCCAAAAATTTCATGTGAAATAAACACTTGCCAATTCAGCATATTATGACATTATATTTCCATTGAGTTATAGAATAACCAAAGTTTTAACTATTCTCTATATTATTTTATGTTATTTTAGTTTTTTTACTGATTAACAATTAATAGACAAAAGATTATTTAATTTTTTTTGCAGAAAATGGTTTTTGTATGAGAATTCTTTTTACCAGTCTCCAGTTTAAAATAAGAAGAGAGAATATTGAATAATAAATAAAATTGAGCTATTATACATTTTGCTTGAGTAAATGTTAATTAATTTTTTTGGAAGCACATGTGATTTTTAATTTCAATTTTCATTGGTCAATCTCGCTTGATTTTTGTAATACCATAACAGCCAATGATAGGATTTTTATCTATGCTCCCCCCTAGGTATTTTAAACTGTATAAAAAAAATTGAAATCAATAGGACGGTCTCTCCTGTAGATAATGTCACACCGTTGTAGTGAAACATATAATAAAATATCGTATTTCTATTTATGTACATAGAATAGTACAAATCACATTATTTTGTAATATTTCAAAAGTATTTAAATAGCAACGATTCTACAAAAATTTTATTTTCTCTGCAATGTATTATGTATTACAAAAATTTCATTTTTCTTGTTAATAGTATTACAAAAATTATATTTTTTTGTTAACATTCCTACAAAAATTTTATTATTCTCTAATAAAATTATCCTTACAAAAATTTATTATTCTCTAATAAAAAATTTACAAAATTCGATAAATACACTTCTCTCTCTACATGCAAAAGCCAAACCAGGCCGTTATAGAGAGTGAACTGTAAATACATAATTTTTTGATAATTTTAGAGATTACTTTATTATTGTTATTATGTTTACAAGCCTATTGATTCTAACAAAAATATATATTAATCAATTGGGATAATATGTTTGGTGAGTTTTGGTTTGTTTGATAATATATTGATTAATTATTATTAAATGTAAAGCCTAATAGGTGTTTTTCTAATCCTTTTATGGTTTATATTTAGACGCACGAATTTATTAAATGGATCATCATTAATGAGAAGCCAATTAAAATTATTAAATTGAGAAAATTATTTGTTCATGTTTATTACAAAGAAGAATTTAATAAAAAAAGTGTTATTGATGGCTAATTTTTAAATTATTATACAAATGAACAAATTAAAAATTTGACCGTTAAGAAAATATTATCTATTACACGAAGACACGCGATGAGATTCTAACAAGAATATACATTAATCAATTGGATGATGAGGTGCCTTGGGTGTGAATATTTAAGAAGAATTCAATGAAAAAGTATAGTTGGCTAATTTTTTAATTCAAAAAATCAACATCGATAATTATTATACAAATGAACAAATTACTAAATTTGACCCCACAAAGAAAATATCAACTATTACACGAAAGACACACGATGAAACAATTTTGTTACCAATCAAAAAAATTCCGCTATGGAGCATTTAGGAAATTCTAATGCTATTAATAGAATTATTTATCGACAATAGCTTCTCTTTAGTGAGCGTTATATTATCAAATACAAATGACTGTCCAATTGGAAAATTCCGATTGATTTATAAAAAAAGAAAAGTTAGAGTCAATGCATTTAACAAAAAAAATTTCTTTTTGCGTACCAATTAACTTAGGTTAAATAAAACAACATTTAACCATTGTTAAATTTATTTTTTTTGTCGGTGATGAGAGGTTCCTATATAAAAAAAAGTTGTTGGGAATGTCATCAAGCGAAAAAAAAGTGCAGCGAAGAAACTCCTTGCAAAGAATGTTGTAAAAAAGGTCTTAAATGCGATAAAAATTGGGAACCGAAAACAAGGGGAAGAAAAAATAAAAAAGGTAATATTATTTTTTTTTTGTTCCGTATTGGAAGGGAATAAGAACATAATGGAGGGTAGAGAAAACATATGTCAGTGCGCGGAATGTGCTGTGTAAAGATGATAACCGCTATTAGTTGGTCCCCAAACTATTTGAAGAGGTAAGAGAACTAAAATTAAAAGTTATATGTCAAAAGTCAAAAGTCAAACTAGTTTCGACTTATGGCGAAAACTTTTTGACTTTTGCATAGTTGTGAAACTCTTTAGTTTGGAAACCAACACTAGTTAGCGTTGCACGTTCCGCACACTGAATTTCATTGTTGTTATACGCTGTTTAGAAGTCAAGAAATAATTCTTACATTCGGAATTTTTATTTTAAACTTTCTATAAGCATAAAGGTTTAAAAACTTCAATATTTTGAAGGATATATATGCAAGAACGGGTGTTAACAATCAAAAACTCATACTAACAATGAATAATCCTATAACTCAACAATAATTAGATCAAATGGCCCAAGCTCAACACCAACAACAACAAAAACTACCACAACAATTGATACAAAGATCCAATATTATACATTCTCCGAATAATAACAACCAAAATACACCTGTTGATGTTGCTCGTAATCATACTGCATCATATGTTAGACCAGTCTTAAATTCTCGTTCAATTATAAGTCCTACTCCTTCTGATTTACCAACGGACACACAAAGACAGGTTAATCAAACAACAGTTGTTCAACAATCTCAACAGCAATCAACAAATAATAATAACATTTCTATACCTCAACAAACTCAACCATTGACAATCTCTCAACCAAGCATCAAACAATTAAGTCATAATGCTTTTACATCATTAGTGACACCTTCTTCATCAGTTGCTCAAGTTAATAATACATTGATAATAGACAATAATAGTGGTAGTGGTAGTAAGAATAATAACAAAAACAATAATAACAACCAATCAAATGATGGCACACTTCAGACTATTAAACCAGAAGAATTTGCCATTGCTTGCGATGTAATTAGAGAACTTGATGCCCTTACAAACAAGAAACATAATCTTGAAAATGAACAAGAAAATAAATCTTTTGATTCACATGAAAGTTTAAATAAAAAAGGAACGTTGGACAATAATAGTATTGACTTGGGGTATGATAACCCACCTAAAGATTATGATAAGGAGCCATCATTTGAAGAACTCTATGAATCAATAAGAAAGTTGAATAATACAATGAAAAATAACATGAATACTGGAGAAGCAGCCAAGGAAACTGAAGAAAATCATCACCTTTTTAGAACGCATGCGGCAAATAGCTCCAATCTTGATTATATTGGCAGTGCCTTGTCAAAATCTGCCTGAATGCTTCTACTTCATTGAAAGGACTTATTAACGGATTGTTAATTGGTACTTTGTATTTAATTGGCTGCTTTTATTTATCTTTTATTTTTTTATTATTGGAAGAAAATTATAAGAACATATGGGAAAACGTGTAAATTCTATATATTACAATTTCCCTATAACCTATAGTGCAATACATTGTTGTTTGTTGTTGTTTTACCTGATTGATATGGGCTTACCCATTAACACTCAGTAAACAAACTTCATTTTTATTGAGTTATGTTCTTGTTATCGGGTACCTGATCTGTAAGTCAATATGTTTTTCACGTGAAAAAAGGATATTGCCTATAGGAAGTATAGGTATCTGATACCTACCTGATAAATGGTAGTTATTGTATGTCTGCCAAAGAAAATTGGCACTCTGAAATTTCAATTATTGCATTTTTAAACTCAGAGTATGGAAGTTATGGAATACATGTGGAAATTATGGCATACCTATGGAAATTATGGCACGTCTGTGGAAATTATGGCACGTCTGTGGAAATTATGGCACGTCTGTGGAAATTATGGAATGTTTACAAAAAAAATTTTTTCTAATAGCAATAATAACAATAAATTTTTAGTTTAGTAATTAATAGATAAAGCAAATATTAATATTAATTATTGCTATTATTAATAATAAAGTTCCAGTTTTTATATGATATTTTCTTAATTACAGTTTGTTTTCTCTGTTATCATAATTATAAGGTTGGAATCGATTAATTAGTCGACTATTTTAGTCGAGTAAACTTTTTTTTGAACAACTAATAGCCGACTACTAATACTACTAATACTAATACTATTACTAATGCTATGCTAATATTATTATTGTCTGACCAATTACGATTTTCGTGTTTTATCATTCAAAATGGAAAATTTCTATGCGAAAGAGTATCAATACCATCAATGTGATGATGATGACAATAATTTTACATGCAAACGAATAAACACTTCCAATACAAGGTCCAATAGTTCATTGGTTTCAAGTTCCAATGATTTAAGCGGTGGTTTCAGAAGACCTTTAAAAAATGAATCATAACACATGAAGCATTTTGAAAAAGTGAAAGATTCAAATGGAAATGAATTCGTAATTTTCAAATTAAAAAAAAAAAAACGAAATATTATTATCATTATTATTATAAAAAAAAATTTTAGTCGACTAAAGAAATTTTTGAGGATTTTTTGGACGATTCCAATCTCTACATAATTATTAGTAGAATCAAGTAATTTGGGTCTTTTGAATGGAACAGTGTGAGCATTTTGCCACCTTATGTGTTTGTAATATAGTGCATTAATAATAATAATAATAATAAAATACTTACTCCCATCCTTTTGCTATAATTTGAATTGGAATTATCAATAAGTTTATTATTAATATTTAATTTGTTAATTATCTCAGAATTTAAGTCCATAGATGCACCTTCAATTACTCGAGTAATTTTGCTTGTAGAATCATCATTTTCTTTGGCAATTCATAAGAATCTTTTAAATCAATAATTACTGCGTTCTTGTTATTAACAGCTTGATTGTTTATTTCATTAATATCAGTTGACTTGTTAGTATCTAATGCTAAAATCTATTAATGATTTTATATTTAATGATTTTTGATTAAAAGTTGGTTTATATATACTGATAATGCTTTCAATGATTTGCGTCCATAATTTGTTTTTCAGTTAGTCCACTCTGAAACAGCCATGTCAAACAGGCTACGTCTTGAATGTTTAACTATTTTCCGATCTTGAACATCAATTCCAACATCAATACATATAGTTTTTAGATATGATTTGATCTTCTCACTTTCCATCCTATGGTCAAGGTACCAATTATTTATACTTATAGCTTTAAATAAACAAATATTATATCAGTAAATATTTATAAAAATTTTTACATAAATAAATAAATAATTGCTAAATGTGATGGGTAGTTATATGACCAGTAGACAAAAAGAAAAGATAGGGTATTGTGTTGAGTAAAATTGATTTCTAATTCAAATAACTAACTATTTGACACGTTCAATAAATAAAATACCTGAATTGGAGGTGACTTGCAAATAAAATTTTTAGTCTCACATTTTTCTTGCCTCTTACTAATATATAAATTGAAATCATAAAATGGTCCCAAAATACCAGGTTCATCACATGGTCATGGAATTTCAAGACAATAAGAGCTTCCTGATAATCCACCTTGATCATTCTTCTGATGAAATTTTGTAAAAATTAACATATTGTTTCTAAATTGGTATTGATTGATTTTTATTAAGAAGCGTTCTCCTCCGCGGGGACAAAACAAAACACAATTCCATACAAATATACGTCTCACAAGACCTTCAGCTGCATCATGGGAAGTTGAATGATGATTAAGTATTTGTTTGATTTCATCAGTTGATAATGATACAGCAGAATTTTTTTTAATCAAGCCTTTTCTCTTCATATCTCTTAATTTACCTTCAATGGTTTTGTATGATTGTGGGAATTTATGTTTACATTGTTCACCCGTTAAAGCAATATCCTTACCTATAACACTATTTTCTTTTAAATGTCTATCTAATGCAGCCATCACATTTTTTCAATTTATATATTCAGGTCCATCTTGTTTACGAACAACAATTATAAACCGGCAAAGTTTTTTTTCAAGTTGATTTTTGTTTCGAATTTCTTCTATCAGTGTTGTAAATTCATGATTTGATCTGTCATTGGCAGACATACAATAGTTATTGCATGCATCGTTATGGAATAATCACGTCAATAAATTGACTAAAAGATTGGAGAATGAATTTAATCATTGACTTGTGGCACTAATGTAATAAAAGCTGGATTTTCCATTATTGCATGCCCCGCATTCAATAACTACCATTTACAAATTTTAGTATTATATATAAATAGAATTTGTCTTTCATTTTTAATCGTGAACCTTGAAAGCTGATTAAATGTATTCTTTCTGTTTAGGTAATTATTTATGAAGATTAATTAAAAATGTATTAATGAAGATATTATAATCCTTATTATTATGACATTTTTTCAGTTTGAGTTTGAAAATTCTAAATTTCCTCCTAGAAAAAGTACGCTTCTTCACCTGACTGACATAGTTATGGTTACAAGATGTTTCTCAGCACTTAAATTGATATATTGTAAAGTTTATTGACTTTCCTTTCAGATTCTACATATTCATAAGCATTAACCTCAACACTTATTTTATCATTATTAATATTCGGATTATTCATTGCTGTAATGATTGATTCTACAGTAAGGCCTACCTGAGGAAGATCAACTGGTGCAATAGCTAAGACAATTACATTTGAAAATACAGTACAAAATGTTGATCAATTTTATATATATTTACATTGTGTCAAAGTCGAAATCAATAAACCTCATTTTCAATAATTGTAAATTTTCCATTGATTTTTATCATGTCTTGTGTGGAAAATTGTTGCAAATTTGTTGCTGTGGTGTCATCCTTTGGATAAAAAAATAGTGAGATGAAAAATAATTTCCGCGTTTCTAAATGTTTGCCTACAAATTTCTACGGCGGTTACAAAAAAAAAGTCATTTTTTGGAATTTATTATGTAAAGAATGGAGTCAATTCTGGAAGTCATTATTCTTTGTTAATTAAAGTAATTGTTGAAGTAAAAAAAAATAGATGGTTAAACGTTAAACATTTAATGCAAATTTATAACAATTTGACCAAAGTTTCTTTAGAAAATTAGGAATAATTTTTAACAATAATTCATATGAAATTTAACTAATAATATTCCTTAAATGTTAAACTAAAGATTTTGACGCTAAAATGTATTTAGCAACTAAGAAATGACTTGACGGTTTTACAGATACTTTTTTTAAAAAATATTAATATAGTTTCCAAGTCAAAAATGATTTACGTGAAGAGTTACGTATAGCAATGGTATTAACTCAAAGTTGCTTTCCACAACATGTTCCATTTCGAGTATATAGAGATTCAGTACTGTACTCTTTTGCATTCCTGTACTGTATGATCTACAAAAATAGAAAATTTTTTAAAAAAATCACACACCAACATACAGTACGTAGCACCCCCACCAATCAAATGGATTCTGTACTCGTAACATTTAATACAGAAATGCTAATTTTAGATCGTACAGTAGAGGAATACAAAAGAGTACAGTACTGAATGTCTACTGACTGTTCCATTTCTATTGAAAAGCCCCCATATGGCTCCTAAGCAACTCATTTACTATGTAGGCTACAGGAGATCTGATATTAATTACCAAATTACCAAAGTAGTTCTCAGTTAATTACACTATATTCTGAACTTTTGGGTATGTATATATAAATTTTTAAGTGAAGAAAACCGCCATTAAAACTTTCCTTTAATGTATTGGTTAAATAAGAATGCTTTTTATTTGGTTATAAATGTAAATAAAATTTGATTAACTGGCATGTAAAAAATGGGGTAAATTGATAACTTACAGTGTAAAATGGGGTAAATTTAATTGATTTTTACTAATTGTCTTGCATACCAGTTCATTTTAATTGTGCGATGTCCTATTATTATGGAAAGATAGATCCGTTATAGAAAGAGTGAATTGTGGTTACTATTTTTTTTAATCATTTTTTGACACTTTATTTCAAAATTTTGAACAGTTATATTAGTTCAAGTTTACATACTACGGGAGTTGAAGCTTTAATATGTCTTTTATGTTAATACCAACACTCATGAAGTACTTGAACACTTTATTATCTGTTATAAATAATACCTTTTAAATTGCAACAAGCTTTAGAAAGGAAGGGATTGGTTGATGTAAGCCACATTAAAAAAGTTTGTTCAGATCCTTCTTATACATGGGATGGTAATTGTTTTGCCAAAAACATAATACGTAATACGTAATTACGAAATTATTTACGAAATTGATTACGGGTGACGAAATCAATTACGAATGACGAAATTAAATGGCACCTATTATTTTTCTCGTTATACTAGTATAATGACATGATTTGTCAACTTTTTTTTAGAATTATAGAATTTATTCAGTATAATTGGAGAACAAATCAAAATCATTCTAATCATTTCTGAAAAAAACTAAAACTTACACCGAGATCAAAATTGACCAGCATCATGGAAAATTCTGATAACACTTCCGTATAATGCTGGCCAATTTTGAGCCGGCGTAAGTTTTAAATTTCCTGATACGTAGAATAATTAATACAATATATAAAACATGAATTACAAAATCACATGATAATGATTCTCATATGACTTTTATATGAACTCCCGTTATAATGACATTCTCGTCATACTGCCATTTTTTGCTTGTACAGAAAGTGTTGTTATAACGGGAGTGACTTGTATTATGATATTTCCAATAATTAATCCGTTGTTATTCATAATTAATTTCGTCGCCCGTAATTACTTTGCTAAAAATGACTATTTTTTTGTTATGTATTTTTAATGATTCTGAAAGCCATATAAAAACCTTTCGTAAAGTATTACAACCATGTTGGTTTTAGGGTTGCGTTGGTCCAGTCCGGTCCGGTCTCGGTCCCAAAAGACCGGTCTTTTTTTGAAAGACTGAAGGACCGATCTTTAGATGCGGTCTTTGGGACTGGTTAAAGATCGGTCTTTGGAACTGGTTAAAGATTGTTTAAAGGATTTTGATGTGAATCACATATTGCAAAGTAGCTTTTTAGTCGATCTTGATTATCTTACATTTTATGACCAGGTTCAAATTAACTTTTTACACTCATCAATTATTTTATTTTACAA